AATCATTTCTTTCATTTAACTTATATCATATATAGTTCAAGAACGAACATTAATGATTATAATGAGTAATTTAATAAATAAAAAAGTCTAAAGTTAAAAAACTTCAATCAGTTCACAATATCAAGTATAACATAATATCAATAATTACACATTTAAATACGCCATAAAATACGTCCAGTTAAGAGACTTCATATTATATATATAGTCCAGAAGGATGTAATGCCTAGTTATTGCAAGTGTTTCTATGGCTTTTGTGAGATCTTTGCAAGAGTTATAATAACAAAACCAATATAGTAAATAAAAACATCAGCATTCTAACTTATTGTTATAAACTTGAAGTAAAGTATTTATCTAGATATTGCTGATATACAGTATTTAGGCCTATGTAAAATAAATTAGTTCTCATAATCTGATCAGGTCAACTCCTTTAGGCCTTTGAAAATTTTTATAAGCTCGGTGGATTGAAATTAAGAGCTAGGATGTCAACAGTGAAGGAAATCCGAAAAAATTTAGAGAACATGAAACTTTAAATTTTATGTTCCTTAAAATTTTACTATTAAAAAAATTTTTATGTTCTCAAAATACTATTAAAAACCAAAAAATTTTATGTTCTCAAAAATATTTTAATGTTATCAAAAACATTTAGAACATTAGATTTCCAACATTGGTTGGCAGGTCTTAAAAGCCTATATGTTATGAGAGCCAATTTAATAACTTTTTATGATCCAAGAATGAAAATCAAAAATAAGTAAGAGAAGATATGTTACATTAATTTCCATTATAACCTAATCGGCGTAATAATTGTAGGACAAGTTTCATAAATTCAGTATATTGTTTTTGAGAAACTTCATCCTCACTAAAGCGTGCCCTTTCATAACTTTCTACGTAAGCATGTCCTAAGCCGCGATCTATTGCTTTATGTTCAATCAAGAGATCAATGTATCGCTGAACTGACATTGAAGGTTGTCTCTTTAAAGATAAATGGTTTAAAGCATTTTGTTCTTTAACGTAATAAAAATATATATTAGTAAAGAGGAATTTTGCATATATTCGATAATGAAAGAATTCTAATATAACCTATTAGAGAGAACGTATTTGTCATCGATGTTCTAAAATGAATATCATCGTAATCAGAACCTTTAATTTATAATATTTGTTTCGTTATTGAGATTCTTAATTATAATTCAAAAGTTGTAAGTCATCTAAGGATTATACGAACCTGGTCGGCCCCATCCTGGTAGATTAATATCTTCAGGTTTCGGTTCACCCGCCCAAGCTATCAAGGACACATTCGTCAACTCTTTAGTAATAAGATTAAACACAGACTGTCAGACAAATTTATTGAAAGGTTAATAAAATAATGTAAATACCAATATATATATATATTCAGTAAATAATAAATTCTTTGGTGAGAACTGACATTTGGCAAATCTTTCTTTTTAATTGGCATGTAAGATTTTGGTATATTAGTTAACGCATTTTTTACAAGATTCAAGCGACACCATCCAAGTAAAACGGCAACAAAACCCTATCATACAAAATAAAGGAATATGAAAATCGTCAAACTAAAACCAATTTTAATCAATTAACCTTTTTTTTTTTATTTTTTATTTGTTACCGTAAGAAAATAACTTCCACTGGCTATATAAACATAGGTATAATATTCACTAGTTTTAGCATGTTGTATTATATCATATGCAGAAATTCCAAGTGCTATTATGGTTAAAAACGTAAGAATAAATAATGAGCTAGTATACAAGCAGTTTCCAACACTTTTACGCACTACCATCTTGGTAATTGGGAAATGAAGGTGTTGATTTTGGCAAAGTTATACAGTTTTGATGAGTCTATATTAATTGTACGATAAGAACTCCTTAAAAGGAAATAGCATGACTATTATTGGTCAATTCGATTATATCGGGAGTACATATCAATTTTAAAAGCAAACCGGTACCCAAATTTTGGAACTATCGGAAAATAACGGGTTATAAAAATGAAAAAAAGAAAACAAGGAAAAACAAAACAACGTAAATTTTTAAAAAAGATCCAGAAATTTCAAGGATATATGGGATAGTGAACCAGTAAATTTGCTATTTACAGCTAACTGGGACACAATTCTGGAACACCTGAAAAAATTGTTCTTTCCCGAAATATCCTCATAAAAATCACCTAACTTTTCGAAAACTATGTTGCAGTTTTTTTTTTGATAGCTTAGAGGTCGGAACCGGTTTATATAATTAAACTTAAATTCGAGCTAAACCGGGTTTAATATTAGATCGGTTTCTTATGTTCCAATTCCGGTTGTTCAATTGACCGAATAATTATATACTGATTCGTATGATAAGCTTTTGATTTTGGATATGATCAGATCACATCCAGAATTTAATGAGTCGGTATATAATTAATTATTCGGTCAATATTTTAATCAGTTATTCCAGAAAGAATGAAAGCATCTTAAACTTAGTTTTATAAGGAGTTGATCTATAGTTTTAACCAATAAGCTCAACCGGTTTAACTAAATAGTAATCAGTTTTTAATTATATTTAAATCTAATTCAGTTTGTTAAGTTGTAGAGCTCATCTTTCGAATCCAACAGTAGTAATTAACCCAGTGGATTCTAAGAAATTGAAAAAACTTCTTCGCAATTATATAAAATTTCTTTACAAATTTGTGAAGAAATTGTATATGATTACAAAATTGTTTTTTTTCAATTTCTCACGATCCACTGGTTAATTTTAACTATTTTACCGCTGTTAAATTCGCAAGGGTGAGCTCTACAACTTCAGGCAGACCCAATTCTTAGAAAATTTGAATTTAAAACAAAATCGTGAAGATAAAATTCTTTGTTTTTAAGAAATTATGTTATGAAATTCAACTTTGAGTTCTTAAGTGAAGATATTCTTTGAGCAAAAACGGTGCTAGATTCATAATATGATATTTATTACTTCGTTATTAAAATTTTGAGGAATTGTTAAAATACGATAAAATCCGCAGTAACCACTTAGTTCAATATTTTAAGTGGGGAGAATCCGTCAGGTGGGCCGGTCTGGCCCAAAAATTTTCTCCCCTCTAATTGTTAATTAGTAATCTCCCCTCTAATAAAACGTATAGAATTTAAAAAAAATATTGAATGTTATATTATATTAGTAAAGTTTTATTAATTTAATAATAGCCGAGA